ATTTTTATTAAATTATTATTAGTATTTAAATATAGATTATTATATATAATATATTATTTCTTATCTTGCAATTTATATATATATATTAATCTTTATTTTATTTTATTTGTATAACATTATTTAAAGTCAGTTATTTTATATACACACGTATAAGTTTGAAATGATTTTAATTATTAGTGTGTATGTGTGTGTGTGTATCTTTTTTTGTTCTTTCTTTCTTATTCTCATTTGAAATTATTCTAACAAAGACACGGTTGTGTGTGGGAGGGGGGCTGGGGGAAAGGGGGGTTTGGATAAAGTATAAAGTAGAAAAGGAATAGAAGAGAGTCAACTTTTTTAATCAAACTTTCTTTTACCCCTTGACACATCAGCAATGTGTCGTTGCCGTTGTTAGTGTTGGTTTTGGTGTTGGTGTTGGTATTTCACATTATGTTGACAAAGTAATTTAACGAGCAAAAGACAAGACACACATCTCATTTTATATATATATATATTTATGATAATATTTAACTCTAGTTTGCATATATAATTATAAACTAACGTTATAAAACAATGAACGTTAAATGACAAACGTGACACAAAACGGTAATTAAGTATTATACAAGATAATGCAAATTTCGTTTTTCGAGATAAACCGGCAAACGAATGAACGAACGAACGAATGAACAAAGAAAGGATGAGAATGGAAGAAAAGTAAGAAGAATGAAAGGAACGAGACATCGTTGAGGGGTGGGAGGGTTCCACCCTCGACACTTAAAACAAATATCAACGGGTACAGAGCAAGAGAACATTTGCATTTTCACCTTAGTAGTACATCCAATTTACCAAAAACACGACGAGAGTTACCTAACCCCACGAAAGAAAACAAAACCCCCTGAACACCATCACCAACACCAACACCATCACCGTTGCTTCTTCTCTAACACCTTAGAGTGCATCTTGTGGATTTTCTTGCATTTTTTATCTATGCATTTTCCTTAGGGGAAGAATAAAAACAAACGAACGATTAAAATATCATCTCGAGTAACACGTGACACATTTCTTGTGTTCTTTTTTTTTACTTTTATAATAAGATAATATTTATTAATAATAAGATAATTATTATTAATAAGATAATATTTTGTTGAATGATTATTTGTGTGATTAAATAAAAAAAATAAATAGGTGGTCACTCCTATTGATGTTAAGATAAATCAAAAGTTAGTTCGTGCATTTATTGCATTGAAATTTTTACCATTGAAATTGCATAATGGATTATTTTTGTTTGTCGTAAAATTTACTTTCGGAAATATTAATTACAAAAACAAAAAAAGTGCATTGATCTAGTATTACATATACACGCACGATTATTAATTTGAATTCAATGAATTTTCATTAGGATCAAAGAATTTCTATAT